TGAGTCTTTGTTTTAAGAATGAATTACATTTTAAAAGATCTTTTAAAATACTTTGCACTGCACTACTTATTTTTGTATTTTAGATATTTATATTTGTAAATATAGAACGAATCTGAACTTACCCTTTCAGAAATGATTGTTGGATTTGATCTTTTCTTGTGTTCAAGTCATGCAGTCAGTCATCATGAGAGCACAAAGAAGCAGCAGGCCTGGTAAACACACTTATCCTGTGAGATTGTTTAACATGGTATGATTGGCTGTTTCTAAATGGACTGAGTGAAAAGTACCAAGATGACAAGATGACAGTTAATTTGTTTCTACTTGTTTTAGTGTACAATTACAAATCGAATTACTCATAAAAATCATTCTTATTGCCACTATTGTACTAAACTTTCAGATGAATATTGTAAATATTGAAAGTACCAGTTCAAGTGACAGAGTCTTAATGTGTGTAATAAATGTAATAGAGACAGCATGCTGAGTTCAGGTGTCACATGTGACTTCTTACAGCTCTGAAGCAGGTACTGTATGTTTACACTAAGTGCTCTGATGTCATCAGCCCGCAGTGTAGCTTTCTACTGAAACCTATCCTTAAATTACAGCTTGTGACCTTAAATGTACTTGTATTATTGTTTAACGTATACTTTTGCTGCTTGCTCTGCCACCCATAACAAATGCTCTGAATTGGTTGTATTTCTGTGCCGTTTATGGAGAGACATAACTTACTCTGTACCACTACTGTAAAACTGTGCATCATAAGCACCATTCTGGGTTCAGACTTGCTCACTTTCCAGCCTCACAGACTCGCAGATTGAACAAGACTAAGAAAACAACGGGTACTGTGCAAAAGGGAAGACACTGTTGTAATTACCCACATGTTTGTTTAAATATCTTAGGCTATTTCTTGTCAGCAAAAAAAGATAGCAGCTGTGTTATTATGGAATCTTCCCACAGCCTGTGTCAGCTTGCAAGAACCTGAGCCCTAATTGAACAATATCTGATGCGTCCTCATTGCGCCCATCTTGAAAGGTACTTGAAAATACACACAATCAAGACTCTTGGCACATCGCTGTTCATGGTCCTGAGCAAACAAGCAAGCAAACAAACAAACAAAAACAAATACTAACATTTTTTGCATGTGAGCAAAAATGAACAAAAAATGCTTATGACACTGAAATCTATAGACATATGCATTGCATTGCACAAAATAATCTCGACCTTTGTGTGCGTTAGGAGATAACCTTTTATTCCAGGTAACGGGTCTGCAGGGCTTCTTTCTGTATGTGCGTTCTGAGAGTGGCTCTGGGTTTGAACTGCTCTAGATTGTTTCAGCAAGTGTAATGCAGTTTTCTGAATGTATACCGGTACACTACATGTAAAAAATCATCTTTGTGCGCATCTGCATAGTGGTATAGGAGGAAAATAAGAGCTGATGGCCAGACCTTTTAAAGAAATTATATTGTTGTGGGATCCCGTTTTATGCTGGCTGTGAAAATGGAGATGGGTACAAGTCAGAAATGGAGGAATCTACTGTACTTGGGCACCCTTTGATAGAAAACAAACTCCTCCATGTTCATTATCACTGTGATATATACAACAAATTGCGTTATCTTTCTGAAATCAGTGTGAACTAATCCTCCTCCGCCTCCTTGTTTTGAATGAGAAACTGATTAGATACATTCCCAGAGCCTACTGCTTTTAAGTAAAGCAAGCTAATACATTCACCGGTCAAAGGTAAATGAGGAATAATACGAATAAAAGGGCAGGATAGCTTAGTCTTGCTTGTCTGCTGTGGATATACCCTTGGCGCTGGCAGAAGCCTTATCCTCCTGCTGCGATCTGGCCAGTTTTGTGGGATTTGTGCGAGTGTGTGCTGGTGTGTGCTGGTGCCCCGTGTGGGACAAAGCCAGGGCCGACCTGAAATGGGGAGCGAGGGCAGTGATTCTGTGTGGATAAATGCCATGGCAACATGGGCGTGGCAGGGTAGTGTTAGAGGGGTGTAGTATTAATGATAAGCTCAGCACTGCACACTGCGCGGGAGCTCTTGATGTCGCTTCTAGCTTAGAGGAAGCCCAGTCTTCCTTCACGCTGGGGCTCAGTCTGGCCTGCGTCCTTGCTGCAGGACCGTAGGCTGTAGGAGGGGGGAAGGGTTTGGGAGTAGTTCTGAAGGCTGAATGTTGACGTTTCGGAGGTCAGCTGGACACGCCTTCCTTCCATGTCTATGTCGAATATTGAGAGGCCTTGCATCCTGGACCTGTAAATGGTCATGATTGAATGAGGTAGATGAACAGATTTGTAAAAGGTGAACCGCAGGTGCACGCAGATTATCGCGACAGTACAAGCAGTTGGTGCGCTTGAATCCGTCGTTGGCGATTTCATGGATTACAATCCTGTCAATTACCTGTCAGTCCCGACGGTCACCTGCGGCCCGTCAGTGTTTATCTGCCATGGATTTTAAACCACCAGGAAGGGGTCAGGATGGGTCTTTTTCCATGTCCAGTGCAGTAGTTTGAAATGGCTGAGAGGGACTAGACGCCTGGAGAAAGAGCCTGGGAAGCCAGCTCTGTGATTGTCTAGCGTGTGGGAGAGCTGGCTGTGAAAGGGGCCCAAGATCACTGCATTCCCTGCTGCTTTGCCTGCGCTGCCACAAGCAGTAGGTTTAGTCGGTAAACTCAGGGCAGCTTAAGTGTTGCAAAATCTGAAACTTTAATACTTCTCCTGTATTACTTTTAAACAATTTATTCCCAGTGTCCTCTACCCGAAGGACTCAAGAATATTGCTTCCACTGGAGTATGAGATTTCTAAAGTGGTTTTGATGTCATTGTGTGCGTGAATTCACTGCAAAGCACCTTTTTTTTTCTGAGCTGCCCTACGCTTCCAGAGGTTTTCCCGAGTTTTTCCTCAGTACAGAGAGAGTTGATGGCACACTTCGGTGCAAGACTCTCAGCCCCCTGTGACTCAGTTTCATTCTCCCAGAGCCGCACCGGGACGATGGCGGGGGAGCGAGCTTCCCATGCCCCACACATTTCCCAAAATGCCTTTGTCTTTCAGCCCGGTGGCCTCATTACCACAGAAGCGCCCCCCCCTCCCCCACTGGGGACCGTAAGCTGTTACATCCCTCAGCTCCTTTTCGCCATTGTCTTGGCGATATAACCCTATCTCCCAAACAAACAAGCAGTTGGGCTCTGGCAAGAGCCCGCCCCCACAGGTCTAAATCAGCCCGCCCCCCCCCCCCTGCCTGCACACACTCTGCTCTCCCTGCTCCAGGGCTCCCTCCCTTTCTGAACACACTCTGGCTGCCGTGGCGATGGGCGAGCGGGCTGGCTGCAGGGAGCCTCGTGAGTGGCAGCTTTGTTCAGGGGTCTCTCGGACGGGTTCCCCAGGCTGTGTCTGCTCACTGTACAGGGCTGGCTGGCTTGCAGGGATCATGTAGAGCCTGCAGCTGTCCCGGCGTTTCCTCATGGTGGTTATGAGTCCGGTAAGAAGGATTTATTCTCCCTTCGTCATCTCTCCTCACCTTTTAGTTAACTTTAATTAAAGCTAGCCATTGAACCATTGAAAACTTTTTTTTTACATCCTTTTCTAACAGATATATCATATTGATGAGTTCGTAACCTCTTGTAATACAAATGAAGAGATGGTCTTAGGGGTTGTTTTATTAGGCGGTATTCTAGTAGCAGATAAGCATGTTTGTATGACTAATAAGTAATGACTTATTATCTGGAAAAAAACTTCTAGTCTTTAATTTTCACTTGGTTGTTCAGTGACTAAACTTTTGCAAGTCGTGTTTTTTTTTAGTTCACTTAAAGCGATTTGTCTTAAAAAACGGAGAACTGCATTTTTCAACTGCAATGCTGTTGCCTACAAACTTGTTTTTTTTAATAAGGGAACTTTAGTGTTTGGTATTTAAGTTGGATAAAAATAGTTAATGCTTTTAAGGTGTTTTTGTGTTTGGGGGTGGGGGAAAAAGAACAGCTAAGCTCATTGTCAACTTCGGATTAAAATGCACTATCAGCCAGTTCTTTGTGTGGGAGAGTTACGGGTCTTATTGATTCTCATTGTCTGTAGCACAGCGCTTAAAACCCAGGCCTGAGCGAGTGTGTGAGCGCTTCGGCTTCGCGACACGTCTCCGGGTATGACTTGGACTTGTCGTGCTGAGCTGGGAGAAGTTCTCGCCCGCTCATCTGTGGGTGCTAAGGGGCTTCACTTCCTGTTTCCTAGCGCTGCTCCAGGTTGGCACGGCAACTGTTGACGCTGGTATGAGATAACATTGCAGATGGCAGGGAGACGGTTCGCGTCTTGGGCAGCTTGCTGGTTTAACACCCCTCCCGCCCCGCCCCTGGGCAGCTTCACAGAATGAATGTGCTTGGTCTTTAGTGACTAAAGTAGAGTGTAGGCAGTTTTTTTTTATCCTTTTTCAAATGGAATTGTTGGTCACCCAAAACCTAGTGATTCAGCAAGTGCGGTTGCTATGCTTATTGTCATTTAGTAAATTTAGAACACTCTGAAAAGGTTCAGGACTTCACAGTTGTCTAGCTCTACTCATGGGAGACGTGAACGAATGTGTCCTGTTTTAAATGTGAAAAAGTAGTATTGTGTAGTACTAGCCCTTTACATGACCGAAATTAAGCCTTTTATTAATATTTTTATCTATTGGACGCTAAACATAATTCAGCATATGGTTTTTAATCCAAATACTACAAGAGCTAAGACAAATATGCATTTTTTCCAGAAATTAAACCAACGCCTTTTTCTGATCACTTTTTTTATTTTCCTCTGACTTTTCCGTTGGGAATTTTCTCAAAGGTTGAACTTTTTTCTTTCTTTTTTTTTTGGTGGTTCCAGCCCTCTTCCACTTCACTCGGTCACACGGGAGCTTATTGTGGAGCTCATAATGTTCCTTGTGTTCCGCAGTGACTACAAAGGGTCTGAGCCCCCATTGTGACAGAAAACGTGTGAAAAAGATTTGCTAAATGCTGCCTTTGTGTGCTTTGTTACAGGCGGTGCAATCCGCAGAAGAAACAGTCCCCTGCAACACATGCAAGGCCCAGGGAGGGGGACACTCTGTGCAGGAGGGGTCAGAGTTGGGGTCCCCAGAGGAAGATAGCCCCCCCAGTACTCCCAGCAACAAAAACTGCCTTCACTCCCATAGGAATGGGAGCAGCCATATTGTGGCTCCAGATGGATACCCCAGAGGAATAGCCGATATACCTCTAATCATGGAAGAGGGCCTAAAACCCCCAAGGCGAAGTCACCTGGACAGTGGTTTAGCCAATGGCGTCCACAGTCAGGACTCGGAGATGGAGAACGAAAAGCGGAACCCGTCCAAGATCTTGCGCCTCTTTTCCACTCCGCGGAAAAGGAGCAGTTCCGGCTCCGAGGGGCCTCGGTCCGTGACGGCCTTGGGGAACTCCCCCACGTGGAACGCCCTCTCCTCCCTGAGGAAGATGGGCTCTTTCAAAAAGCTCAGGTCGTCCGTCTTCCAGGGCATCCAGGTCAAGGAGGGCCTCGGCGTCGCGGGCGAGGAAGGAGCCGGGGGCGCACCGGATGAGCCGCTGTCGAACGGGGGGGGCGCCTCGGCCCCCGCCGCTGGTCCCGTGGAGCAGGGCGCGGGTTCGGACGGCTCGGAAGCCGAGGACCAGGATGACTCCTTCCTGAGGAACACGCACCGATCGCGGAGCATCCGCAGGGCGTACGGGGCCGGCCGCATCCCCCTGCTTGACGTCAGGCGGGGGAAAGCCCCGGACGAGAGCCCCGGCCCGCAAGGCGAGCCGCCCGAACCGGCACCGGACGGCCGCAAGGTGGTGTACAGGCGGAGCAAAAGCACCGACGGCCTCAACTTCCTCAAGAAGAACTCTTTCAAGCGGAAGTCCACGTCCAACCTGATGGAGCTCAAGGCCGCCGGTGACAACCACAGGACGGGGAGGGCGGTCAGCGCCTCCTCCGTGGACGCGCTCGACGACCCGCCTGGCAGCTCGGAGCGGGCGTCCAGACGCTGGAAGAGCCCGATCGGGGCCAGAGACTTGGACCGCGTGCTGAGGCTGGTGAGCAGCAAGACGGACCAGGCGGTGCAGGGGAAGGAGAGCCTCCCGGAGGGCACGGCGAGGAGCAGCGCCAGACCTCAGAGCCAGCTGCACGATGACTACTCCCGGCGGGTCTCCAGCTGCACGGAGCTGGACCGCCGTCGCTGCCTGTCTTTCACCAGGAGCCCCGCAAACTCCCCGCCCAAACCGGACGCGGCGGGGCGCCGGACCCCAGAACCTGCCGAAAGCATGGACACGCGGCAGCCCTCTTCCGCCAGCGAGCCCTCCCCTTGCGTGAGCCCTGACTTCACAAGCCCCCTCAGCCCCCTCAGCCTCGGCGGCGCTAACAATGAGGTCTTCTATCCCGACTACAGCTGCGAGCCACAAAGCCCCGCTCAGTTTCCCTGCGGCACAGAGCACCAGCAGCCCCTCGCACGGCCCAGACCCGCCGCTGAGCCTTGGAGCCCCGGCGCCGGGAGGATGGAGTGTGGCAGGACCTTGCGCTGTTCCAGCCGGCGCAGCACGCTCTCCCTCAGCTCCGTGGACAGCGACGCGCGGACGGACGGGCCGGCTCCCAAGCCCGGGAAGAGCCCCGTGTCGTTCCAGGATCCGGCGCGCGCGGCGTACTACGACGACACGAACGAGGACAGCGGGGTCAGCAGCCAGTCGCAGCTGAGCCTCAACACCCCGCCTGCGGGAGAGGACAAGAAAGGGGAGGTAAGACGCGCGCGCCCCGTTGAGATTTCACAGCGCGGAGACCGAACCGCATGGCACCGCTGGAAGGGTTAATCACGTAGGCAGCGTGGGTATGGAAAATGAAGGGTCTGCTGTCCCCTGGGTACCTCCTGCTGCGTGCTAAGCCCCACAGCTAGTCACAAACGTAGTCCCCAGGTTGGCTTTCACAGACAGTGGAGCATCTGGAAACTTTCTGCCTTGTGTTTTTAATATGAATAATCCTCAAATAACCAGGAGAGACGCTTGGTGGTAAGTGGTGTGTATTCACAGACTGAGGTTGGACAGTGCTGTTTTTTTTTTTGTAATAACCTCACAAATTACTTTTGGACCTGTCCCAGGTGTGTGATTCTGTTGCCCTCTAGTGATGCCTTTCATTTCAGCACCTTGCAGCAAAATGAAACGTTATCACCTGGTGAGGGCTTTTAGGCATCCATTAGTAGAGCTGGTCATCCCGGCCCACAGCACTCAACACCTCTCCCAAGGTGCCTCTGAGCTGCTGCTTCCGCATGGAGAACAATGGCCGTCTCACCTGTGTGCAGCCGTCTCATGGAAAGGCCTTGTCCTTGGCTGCAGCGCATGAGCGGTTGTGCAATTAAAATGGAGAGACAACCAACCTATTAATGCCACCAGGTGTCTTTCATTCACAAGGGTGGAGTTGCAGAATTTGTGATTACTTTTTATCTTTACGATTTGTGCGATTGTGGTTCCTCATTCAGCATAGGAAGGCTGGTCTCCAGCTCCTCAGGTGCTCAGTTATCAGTATGCTGAATGTACAGTACCTTTCCCACTGTTCAAATAAAACTGGGATAAAGCACAGGCCCGGCCGGGACAGAGTGAACAGCTCAGACTAGCGCTTTGGTGTCATGGGAATTGTATTCATTCTAATTTGTTAAAAATATTTTTTGAAATGGCCATGCGACACTGTCTGATGTTTCAGTGGATGTGTGGAAAACCTTTATCCGTGACTGACCGAGAGGTTAGCCTGTCTGTTCCTGGATTTTTTTAAATATATTATTAGTTGGTTTTCAGCGGTGCTGAATTTTGACTACAGCGTGGTTTTCCTCCTGCTGTCTAAAGAAGTTATTCTGTGGTGTGCACGGCGTTCGAGGGGGTTTGACAAATAGCAGAGTGGGGAAATGTTGGACATGCAAGGACAGGTGTTGTCAATAATAATTGCTTACACTTATGTAGCGCTTTTCTGGACACTCCACTCAAAGCACTTTACAGGTAATGGGGATCCCCTCCACCACCACCAATGTGCAGCCCCACCTGGATGATGCGACGGCAGCCATAGTGCGCCAGAACGCTCACCACACACCAGCTCTCAGTGGGGAGGAGAGCAGAGTAATGAAGCCAATTCATAGAGGGGGATTATTAGGAGGCCATGATTGGTAAGGGCCAATGGGAAATTTGGCCAGGACGCCGGGGTTACACCCCTACTCTTTTCGAGAAGCGCCCTGGGATTTTTAATGACCACAGAGTCAGGACCTCGGTTTTACGTCTCATCCGAAGGACGGCAGCTGCTTTACAGTCCAGTGTCCCCGTCACTATACTGGGGCATTAGGACCCACATGGACCACAGGGTGAGCGCCCCCTGCTGGCCCCACTAACACCTCTTCCAGCAGCAACCTTAGTTTATCCCAGGAGGTCTCCCATCCAGGTACTGACCAGGCTCACACCTGCTGAGCTTCAGTGGGTTGCCAGTTGTGAGTTGCAGGGTGATATGGCCGCTGCTATGTCATACCTGCTTGAGTTGCGCCGCCACACGGCGAATATTTCCCTTGAATCTGAACGGAGGTGGGGCGGCCGCTCACCTGACCCTGTCCGCATTCGACCAAGGTGGCCGCCGAGGACAGATGGCGAAGCTCGTTGGCTGGCGACGGGATGCCGAGGGGCGGGGGCGCGGGCCGGGACAGGACGCGGCCTCGGCCCCTGTCGGATTACGGCCAGCTGGCGGACCGGGCGCTGTCCATCCCCGAGGACGGCGTGGTGGAAGAGTGCGGCGCCGGGGAGGCCCGGCCCAGCTCCGCGCAGCAGCTGTGGCGCCGGAAGCGTCGGCCCATCTCCGTAATTGGGGGGGTCGACCTCTTCGCTCACCCCAGCCCGGAGGAGATGGAGGAGCTGCTCACTCAAGTAAGGCCTCCCAGACCGCCCCGCGCCTCTGCGCCCATCGGCCCTGCAGTTCTTCCCGCAGACTTCCTTCTGCTGTCGCCTTGCTTTTACTAACGCGGCCGTTACTGTTGGTGCTGTCCGGGAGGATTCTCACACCGTTCTGCCGAATCGCTCCATCTGTCCAGTAGTTCAGTGAAGCACAGACCTCTCTGCCAACCCTCTAACAGGAGCCCTTTCAGAATGTGTTTTTTTCCATCCTGCTTCAAAATCTGCCCCAACTTTAACTCCATTCTATCCGTTACTCCACGTAGTTCTGCAGTGGGGAAAGGGGGGAGGTCTTGTTTGCATACCTGAGATATCTCTAGTTCGATACATCCCTTAAAAACATTTACATTTTCCTCCAGGGGAAGAGGGGAGGGGCTCACTGTGGAATAGAAGGCTTTCAAACCCACCCAGAAAGTGTGTGAACTCAGGCATTCATGATGTGCATCCAGCTTTACCTCCTGCTAATAATTAACCTGCTTTTGTCCTTGTGTATGAACTGTACTCTTCTGACTTCTGTGACTGTCTTCTGAGCTACAGCAGACCTCTTTTTAGCCCGATGACATTGACTAACATGGCTTGAATAACTAACTCGTTACCGCTATTAACTTTTTTTACTGCAACTGGGTCTGAAATCTGCTACCGGAACATTTAAAACCGAAGTCCATTTAGTTTATTCCTCCTTGGGGCCCAGTCTTTATGGCTGTGCCAATCGAGTTGGGAGGAAAAAAAAGCCCGATGCACAGTTGTCTTGATAACAATCCCCTTTTTTTGTCAAAATCTGCATTTTTGGCTTTGTGGTTCTTCTTCGACTTGCCATGTAGAATTTCTGATATTAAGCGATTCATCTAAGAATTTAAATGTCACAGCCCCCATTGCTGTTCAGCATGGTGTTCACCGAACGCAGTGGACAGTTAACTGCAGCTGACTGAACTACGGCGGTTTCAGAACGGCTCCCGCTTTCTTCGCACTTCAAAACCATCGCTTTCGAGAGCGACACAGGGGCGCGTGTGCTTGTGGTTTACCGGTGCGCGTCTCCTGCGTGGGGTAGACGGGCTCCTGCAAACAACTTTCCACCGAGGGAGAAGACAAATACACAGTGGAAACTCTTCGCATGCAAAACTCCGCTCAAAAGATTATTTTCACCAAGTGGTCACAAATAATCATTTACCCTGTATTTTTCTAAGGCGATTTTGTGATTTAACTTTGTTTCTTTGATGTCTTTTGAATGACAAGTAGAAAAAAAAAAATCCTGTGCCAGCATTTATTTGTCCCTGGTACAGGCCGAATCTGTCAGCTGACAGCAACTGGCATTTGGCTGCAAACCAAATGTATTAACAGCCGTTTTGTTATTTACCATTTAGAGAACAGAGCATTACCATTGTGAAAAGAGATACTAACTATTTACTAACTTGTTGCTTGTGTTGGTTATTTTCTTACAACAATTTTCTTGTATAACCTATCTAAGCTGTTCTGCATGCATTTGGTCTGATTTGGGGGTGTTAAAATTGATTAAAAGAGTCTTCAGACAAGCAGTTTTAATACACGAAAGGAGCCTGATCATACATCAGGCGACACCTAAAAAAAATGAGCCCAGCTCCTGGTAAAAGTTTCTTAATGCTGCCTAAAATGGCACAATCTACTCGACCTCTCAGACCCTTGATCTTAAATTAAAAATCGCACGCTGGGGCCATTAAGGAGAACATGTTTGCAAAATTAAAGCCGTGCATGTTTTGTTTGAGCCAGTCATCGTTTGAACCATTAATGCCTTTCTCCATTTATGTTTTGCGTGATGGATTCTGGGAGTTTTTTGTGGGGATGGTGTTCCTCTTTTTGTTTGTTCATCCACTTTTTTTTTTTTGGCCTCCATCGCAGCCCCTCCCGAGACCCCCCATCCCGTCCCACCAGGTGCCTCCTTACAGGGCGGTGTCGGCCCGGATGCGCCCGTTCGCCTTCTCCCAGAGCACACCCATCGGGCTGGACCGGGTCGGCCGCAGGAGACCAATGAGAGTGGCCAGCAGTAAGCTCGCTTTATTTCCTTTTGTTTCTGCTCGCGGTGGTCCTCGGGCGCGCGGGGTTTTATTGTAGACGGAGCCGGGTGCTGGGGGAATTCGTGCTTGCCACCTTCGTCTGGTTTATAAATAACAGCTCTCGATTCTGTAGAAACGGAGGGTCACAGATGCTGTGGTCTGCGCGCACACTGGCTCGCTGTACAGTTAGAGAGAGCAGAGCCTGATTGCTGCTGCTTTCAGTTCCCCTCCCTAGTGGAACCCCAGGGTGTCTGTGAATCTAGCCTCCAATTGACTGCAGGCTGCTAGTGTGAGTCAACAGACAGCAGTCTGACATGCACTTACACCGAGGCACTCGAGAGTGAGGGACTGCAGCTGGGGCCGTGCACAGTGCTCGCAGTGAATACCCTCCTGCGCAGGGAGCAGGCCATGCTCGCTCGGAGCTGGTCTTTCTGACAAAAGCATCGATTCTCTCCGGAGTGCACCGGCCTCGTACCGCGGCGTCGGCCATGGTGGCACGAAGGGAGGTGACCCGTTTTTGGAGTCTGGAAAGTCTGCTGACTGGTGAGTGTTGGGTCTGCAGGCTGCAGTGTGGGGAAGTTTGCAGGATCTGTGCTGTGCTGTGCTGGGTGTGATGTGCTGAGCTGGGTGTGAAGCTGAATCGCTTGAATATCTGTACAGAGAAACATCAGCTGCCTCTCCTCTTCCTTAATGACGTGCATTTTTCTGTTTGTTTGTGCAAACAAGATTTTACTCTACAGTGAAATGATTGATGGCAGTTTATGGATCTGAATAAAGGATTCGGATTTAGTTTTAGCAAAACAAGTGAGCAGACTTGTCTCCTAAGTGGCAAGCAGAAGGATGAGTCATGCTGTTATTGTTCTGTTGCTTGCATTGCTAGATTTGATTCCTCAGGGCTCCATACTTAAGCTTTACTAGTCTCCATTACAGAAATGTGCTGAATAAGGTTCGTATGACATCTGGCTTTTCTTGTTCGAATTTTGTACTTGCTAATTATGAGATATACCGGTACCATGAAAGAATACACGAAAATCTATTAAATTATACAGTGCAGCTATATATAATGCATAATATGTATTTATACAGAGCGCCTGTTTAAAATGTGTGGTGTAGAATTACTTATTTGTACATGTAAAGGTACCGTAGGTTCTGTAGGTGTAGTGTCAATGATATACTGTATACGAGAGTTTTAACTCTCTGGGCTGTCCAGTCTGTATTTTCCTTATTTTCTAGAATTAATAGAACTAAACCCAAAAGCACTGAGTAAAACAGCTTTGTCAGGGTTGTCTGGTTTGCTGCATTGCTCAGAGTTTGACTGCTTCAGCTGACTTAAGACCCAGGCAGTCTGCTTCATCTTCTCTTTTGTGACTTCTAGCATTTCTGCATCGAGAAGAGGTCTAAAAATAACCCTCACCAGCGCATTTTCAAAAGATAACATTTTTCTGGGGTGAGACAATGATGCAGTCAAAAATAGAAACAAAGCTTTCTACTTCAGTATTGATAAAGTAATGAACTCTGTAAATGTTTTTTTCTTTTACAGCATGATTGATAGCCACACCATCTGTTGTGTGTGTGAAATGTAGCTTGTAAACTAATACTGAAACAGTTTGTCTACATTTACTTTTGTGTTTTGTCTGCCACGTAGTCTTCAATTATACTTTTTCTGGGTTACTAGCGAGCAATACTTGATTATGTTCAGCTGAAACTATTGGCCTGCTGGTCTGTCTGTCTTTTGGAGTGTTTTGAATATACCGTCTACGTTAAGATCAGAGTGGACTGGCATTAAGAAACTTTTTGTTGTGCAAAAGTTTTTGCTGTGAGCTCAATGGTCATAACTGGCTCATCAAGGAGCCCAAATTGCTTTTATGTGTCTTTGTTTTGAAATACTGATACGTTTAGTTATTAATATCTACGCTAATATCCGTCTTTGCTGTCTGTGCTCATCTTAACTGATGTCATATTACTATGTATAGTAACAGCAGGCACAACATGCTGATATTGTTTAACAGTATCATTCATCAGGTCAGTGAGTATAAAGATCTTCACACCAGTGATGCAACTGCACCCAAGTCACGCCTGTCCAACACTGCAGCTTCAGAGGCTCTGTCTGACATTTGTGCTTTGGGAAACTCTGACAGGCCCATTGTTAATTATACTTTTGCAAAGTTAATTTCATAGAAACCCCATTTCCATGACCCTTAAATGTCACGGGCTCAAATGACAGAATCCTGTAATTACTTTCCTTCTGCAGCCTCATTGTCATGAGTCACCGATGCGTCAGACAGGAACGCTGTAGAAAATCCAGAAAGACGACGACAAACAGCTGAACTATGAGTTGAATTAGCCGAATTGGAGGCCGGTAGAGCTCAGGGGTCTGATGGGGGCAGAGTTGTCATCTTCGCCGTTAGTCTTCATGGCCACAGACAGTACAGAGGTTGTAGTTAGTCTGCTAAAGGTGAAATGTCAACCCTGCATTTAAAAATGTGAATGAAACACTGTGTTCAGTGTCTGGAAAAACATGGCTGCCTAACTGGAATTAAAAAAAAAAAAATGATCTGGACGAAAAATGGTCATTTTTTTTCTAAACCAAGATGCGTTCAGGCGAATAATGAAACTGGCAAATAATTGCTTCCATAGTGAAACTGTGTGCGGCGACTTCGTTTTCTCTAGGATGACGGTCATAACCTTTGCGTTGGAAGGTTTCAGTTCACTACTTTCCGGAATGTCTCTTGAACGTCTTCCATATTCTGTTAGAGGGGTGCCTACGTGGGGTCTCATTGCTGCGAACGTGTGCTGTATTTTCAGCGGACGGGGGGGCCCCGTCCTCCACGCTGGTGGACGACAATGGGAGCGAGGAAGACTACAGCTTCGAGGAGCTGGCCGAGGGCAGCCCTCGGTACCTGCAGCCTGGCGGGGAGCAGCTCGCAGTCAACGAGGTAACCCGCCGGCCAGGTACAGCGCAGGTACACAGGAGCGCCCTGGACGGAGACAGAGAAATTTAGAAAGTGCGGGGAACAGATTCAATAATTTCTTACACTTGCGTAGTGCTTTTCTGGACACTCCACTCAGAGCTCTTTATAGGTATTGGAGAATCCCACTGCTACCACCAATGTGCAGCCATAGTGCGTCAGTCTGCTCCCCACACGCCAGCTCTCAGTGGGGAGGAGAGCAGAGTGATGAAGCCAATTCAAAGATGGGGATGAAGAGGGCATGATCGGTAAAGGCCAGGGGGAAATTTGGCCGGGGCACGTTTTTGTCGTGCGAGATAGAGGGGTCGGATTTCTGCCGCGGTCTCTGTTGCCGTTCAGTGAGCGGTGTGTCTTCTGTCGCAGCTGATAGGCGAGGGCACGCCGGTCCACGCGGAGGCGCTGTGGGACCACGTCACCCTGGACGACCAGGAGCTGGTGTTCAAAGCGGGAGACGTTATCCGCGTGCTTGATGCTTCCAACAAGGACTGGTGGTGGGGAAGGATCAACGACAAAGAGGCCTGGTTCCCTTCCAGCTTTGTCAGAGTAAGTGTCCTGCGCGGTATTAACAGGACGTGATACGACGCCGCCGGCACCCTGGTGCGGTGATCAGCACCGCTGGGGCCCCGGGTTCAAGTCCAGACCTGGGGTGCTGTCTGTGGAGTCTGTATGTTCTCCTCGCGTTGATGTGGGTTTCCTCCAGGTACTCTGATCTCCTCCTATAGTCCGAAAACATACTGGTAGCTTAATCGGTTTCTTGGAAAATGAGCCCAGGTGTGAGTCTGAGTGTATGTGTGTGTCTGTCTGCCCTACAGCAGGCTGGCATCCCGTCTGGGGTGTATCCTGCTTTTCAGGATAGGCTCCTGCTCCCTCACGGGCCTGAATTGGATAAAGAGGTTACAGGATGGACAGATCACATAATAAATTGCATGATGAGTGTACAAAATAGCCAAAATGCACAAAACATTGATCTGGCCTGTCTGGCTGTTTGGAAGCTTAGCAGTATTCACACTTTGATGTTTGTTCTGTAGTTTGCAGTATTTCTTGATTGATATATCTACGCGCTCAATCAGCTCCTCAGGTGCTATTCGACTCCTTGTGGGGTTCATAAGGGTTTATCAGGGGCAGTTATCGGGACTTATTTTGAGACGGCACCTGCCCTCGTTGCTCCTGCTCCACATTTTGAATTCAAAGAAATCTGGGGAAGTCTCTTAAGTCTCTAATTTGGGGAAGAATCTAAGTTGCAGAGTCACCCAGGGACTGAAGAGGGTATGGGCGCTGACCAGTTTTGCCAAAAAATATAGTCTGTGCAGTTAGAAATGGAGGTTTGTCTTGTAACCTGGTTTTGGAGAAATGCTTTTTCGCCAAATGGCCCTGTTAACCCTCTGAAGGCTCTGAGCGATAAGTGGCTCCGGCTCTTTAACTCTCGGTGCTGAGCCGGAGCCCTCATGCCTGCCGTGTGCCGGTAAACGGTACCGAAGCATTCGGTCTAAGTCCAACAGACTACAGAACAGCTTCTACCTCCAGGCAATAAGACTGCTAAATAGCCAACCTGCAGCTCCTTCAGCAAATCACCAGTAATGGCTACATGGACACAGTTTTCACTGTATTCAGCATAACTGCACTACTCGTATATACTGCACACACTCATATTGAGCTTTATTCAATTTCTATTACATCTATTATTATGTAACCTTATTTTCATAACCTAAATTTTGTGATTTTTGTGAGCTCGCAGAAAAGACATTTCATTGCCAGCAACTGCTGCCGCCGCACGCTGTATTGTTGTGCATTTGATAAATAAACTTTGATTTGATTTCTGCAGCTCAGGGTCAACCAGGAGGAGTCGCTGGGCGAAAGCGCAGAGAGCACCCAGGACGAAGAGGACCCCCCGCCCAGGGAGCCCCGACACAAGACCTCGGAGCACAAGGGCCAGATGAGGACCAACGTCGTCAAGGAGATCATGAACACCGAGCGCGTCTACATCAAGCACCTGAGGGACATCTGCGAGGTCAGCCGGCCTGCTCCTTCTGGAGCTTTTTGTCAGCACGTGGAGATGAGCAAGCTTAAAAGACGGGGAAAACTCTAAAAATGTTGGGCATGTGTGTAGTCGCGTACACAGCTACTGTAGCAAGCGCTTTAGTGATGAGTCAAAGGGATAGCGATGGTTCTAGTTTGTGTCCCGTTCCTAAGTGAGATGCGAAGGGTCCTCAAGTTTAAAAGACGGCAGCTGTACTTGCTTCAGTTTTGAGACGACCTCCCACTCTCTGATTTTTTTTTAAACAGGGCTACATCAAGCAGTGTCGGAAGCACACAGGAATGTTCAGCGAGAGCCAGTTGAAGACTATTTTTAGCAACATTGAGGACATCTACAAATTCCAGAGGAAGTTCTTAAAGGACTTGGAGAAGCAGTACAACAAAGAAGAGCCTCACCTGAGTGAAATAGGCTCCTGCTTCCTGCTGCATGTGAGTGAGGAGAGGGCTGAGCTCCAGAGCTCAAAAGCCAGTCCGCCGAGGAACTGGAGCGTGTATGGTTTATCTGAACAGAAAAAAAGAGTTTTACTGCTGTGTAGACATTTACGTCTGTGCAGAATGCAGGAAAAGGAAAGGAACGGTGTTGTAGTCTTTTGTTGTAACCTTTTTGAAAAATAATAAATTTGTCTATAGCATCGTTCACAAACAAGCAATTAAATTTTGATGTTATAGTGATTAATGAAAACAAAGTGCTTGGGGTTCCAACATTAACACAAATTCAAATGCACTGCACAGTCTCGGTTGTTTGTCTTCACAGAACCTGCTAGACCCCAGTGCTAGTACAGCAGGAGGAAAGGAAATAATTAGATGGTGGAATCTCAATGTCTTCCCTAATGCTTGTGGAAATGCAGGCCCTAGGGAGCAGAGAGCAAAAGCTTTTCATAGGCAGCATCACATCATTACGCTTGTAGCTAAAAAGAAACTGAAAGTGATTTTTTTTCTGGGTCTTGGCTGATGATGGGGTTTATTCATTCTTTTTTTCAGCAGAGTGTCTTTAATCTTTTTTTTTTTACCATTGCAGCAAGAAGGCTTCTCAATCTATTCAGAGTACTGTAATAATCACCCCAGTGCCTGCACTGAGCTCTCTCACTTAATGAAGCACGGCAAATACCGCCATTTCTTTGAGGCCTGCCGTCTCCTGCAGCAGATGATTGATATTGCTATCGATGGTTTCCTGCTCACTCCCGTGCAGAAGATCTGCAAATACCCCCTGCAGCTAGCAGAGCTGCTGAAGTACACGACGCGCGAGCACAGGTGAGAGGCCAGCATGCTCCAGACCCCCGCCGATTCCCAGTGATACAACGCAGAATGGAGACAGACGGATTTTATTTCTCTTCGTAAAAAGCCACGAAAGTCTGACTAAAATTCTGTCCCCCTCCCAGTGACTACAAGAACATCTCCGCTGCCTACGAGGCGATGAAAAACGTCGCTTGCCTCATCAATGAAAGGAAGAGGAGGCTAGAGAGCATAGACAAGATCGCGCACTGGCAGGTCTCTATCGTCAACTGGGAGGTGAGTATCCGTTTGGAAGCCTTGTTCCCAAAATATGTAAGACATTTACAGCTGCAGCAAGCCATTTACAAAACACATTTTCACATAGGGTGTAAGTAATATTGCAGTGCATTTCATCTGAGAATGACGTTATTAAGGGAAAGCATTAACTTTGGACCGAGTAGAAAGTTAAATGTGTTGTGACATCTCTTGTTTATGACGTCCTGAGACCTGAGTTAAGTGATGTACTGCACAGTGTCCCAGTGATGTCCTAAGACCCGCGAGTAATGTCCTGTGCTGTACGTGGCTGTTGGTAGCAGAGAGGAGAAACCGCAAGCTCTTTTTCTGGACTCTTCAAGGGGCCGGACGTTTTAGGCCGCAGCTCTGAACTGATCCACAGTGGAGACCTGACCAGGATCTCCAGGCAGGGGAAGACGCAGCAGAGAACCTTCTTCCTGTTCGACCACCAGCTCATATTCTGCCGGAAGGACATCCTGCGCAGGGACATGCTCTACTACAAGGGGCGCATGGACCTGGACGACATGGAAGTCCTGGACGCGGAAGACGGCAAGGACAGGGACCTCAACGTGACCGTGAGGAACGCCTTCAAGCTCCGCGGCCGGTCCACGGGCGAGGTGTGTGCCTTCTCCGCCAAGAAGCCGGAGGACAAGCGTAGGTGGCTGCGGGCCTTCGAGGACGAGAGGAAGAGGGTGAAGGAGGACAAGGAAATGGGTGAGTTAGGAGTTGAGCCAACTGGAGCACGTGCGTGTCTCCTGGCCAGTTCTGAACCAGTTTTACAGAGCCGCTCCTTTCTGCGGGGAGGGTCACTGGGCTGTCATCCGCCCTCCATTGATGATAAGTACACTTTCAGAGCAAAGAAGCGGACAGGAAAGATTGCTGATGAGCCCTCCCATGCAGATGACCACCTGTTTCATAAACTTCCCTCTGGAAGAAGCTACAGGTCTATTAAAAACCAGAACCACCTGGTACTTGAACAGCTTCTTTCCCAGAGCTGTCCTTCAGCTTAACTTGAATTCCTAGTTATGTATATGCGTGCTGTTATAATGATGTCTATTGTCTTGCTTGTATATATGTATAATGTAGACTGCTTTTTCAGCACCAATCACACCAGGGTAAATTCCTAGTACATAAAGTATACTTGGCGAATAAAGGTGATCCCGATTAAAACTGTCAGCAAATACATGCTTTAATGAACTTTATTTTAACGTAAGTACATCTACAATTCTTCATATGCATCAACGGTAAATTCACTTTTCGTCTATTGAAATTTGTGAAATTAAAATGGATGAAAACATTTACCTGTTGGAAAGGCAAGTTTGGTATTTTGGTATAAAGGTCTTAATTTTTTTAAACCAGCACTGTGAATGATGTAGTGAGTACGTTTTGCCTGCACAGTCCCATTACGCTGTTCTGAGCAGCAGAGCTGATGGTCTGGCGGTTGACTTGTTTCACTTTGAGGCAGTGGTTTGCAATCCTGCTGCCGGAGACCTGCACTCCTGCTGGAATCTGTTCCACATGAACGCTCAATTCATCAAACCCTTAATAGGCATAAAAACAAAACTCTTTAATTGTTTTCCGCTCCTGAACAGTGTAGGAGGTTGCATTTGAACTTTTCTCTTTTCTCGAGTAACTGAAAATCTCTGACCTCCTTTTTAATGGCAGGAATGGAAATAACCGAAAACCAGAGGAAACAAGCCATTCTGAATGCTCGAAAGTCAAGACAAGGAAAGCTGAAAGGTAAGGAAAACATGCAACTATTTGCGGAAGCCGACGGTTTAGAAAAAGTGGTGTTGTAAAGACGCGAGACTAAACGTTAAGGAATGTGATGGGGGGGTTGTGGTCATGTGCCTGAAAGAAGCTCTCAATCATCAGTGCTAACAAGTAGCAAACATTGCCTTGGGTCAAGCTATGCGTCTAGAAAAAAAGACTTGAGATGCCACACCCCCCTCTTGTGGCTATTTTTAGCACATGTAGCATAAGATGTTTGTTGCAAAATAACTATTACAGCACAAAGCAAGTATTTGTACACATGCAGAATATGCGCAGCCTGGTTTTGTAACATGCGTGCTTCATAAAAGGAATTATGGTAACAGAAATACCAGTATGGCTGGAATAGTTCAAGTTCACCAGGTTTAAGATCAGATCACTTTATTGGCCACATAGATTTCTTGCATCAGGAATTCATCTTTTCGCATACCCCAGCTTGCTCTCCATGAGACGCACAGACACACAGACAGGGGGAGAAGCTGGGGGTCAGAGCGCAGGGTCAGCCATTGTACAGCGCCCCCTGGAGCAGTTGGGGTTAAGGGCCTTGTTCAGGGGCCCAACGGAGTAGGACTCCTCTACCAGCCGTGGGATTTGAACCGGCAACCTTCCACAGATCCTCAGCCACAGTGCCACCACTCCGCCCCCTATTTTAATTTCCTCCCCCCGCTGGGTGACTTAGGTCTACCAAGACGAGGGCGACTAGGTTCTGTAACAGCACCCACCCAGAGGCTGTGGGATGCAACTAAAAGTTTTAATTTTGTCAACTTTGCACAGCTCAATCTCTCCTTGATTTTTTTATTTTATTTTATTTTATTACTGGTGTGTGTTGAGGATGGTGTGGAAAGATCTGTTGGGCGGATATGCATTCTGTTGTTGGCTTTGTTGTGTATCTGTGTCGTATGTCTTTAATTGTATGAGCTCACCGGACCACATTCCACGCAACGAGTTGTCAGGGCAGTGAAGTATTGAACTTGAGCTCTGTTAAGTCAGAAGCACTGCACTTACAGGGGAAAGGCATTAGTCGGCGGACTCCCGGGTTTGGAGGAGACACCTGTCCGTTCTGGAAAGGGAGCCCCCTGTAGCTCCTGGCGCTGATGCTGACAGCTGGGGTTAGTGCTTCCTCTCCAGTGAGACTACGATCGCTCTGGGTGGGGCGGCCTGGGCAGGGAGGTGCCCCCACGTGTTGAGTGACCGGTGGTGTCCAGCAGTGACTCCAGCCGGGGAAACCTTATGGTCTTTGAGGAGACTAGATGTCCTGCTTGATAAACCAGTTTCTCCCGGGGGTACCTCTGGGTGAGTATTAGGAGCCCTCTGAAGAAGGGCCTCTAAGGAGTCCAGCTGTTGTGAAGCGTGCACCAGAAGAGACCGGGTGCACCAGAGCTCTGCAGCAGTGTGGGCTGTCCAGAGCTCCCCTGAGCAAGGCCGATCTCTCCAAGCAGCAGCCCTGTAAATGAACTCCACAGGGCTCCCCCGCTGTTGGCCAGGAGTGTAGGCAGGTGTGATGCGCTTTCCCTTGTACTGCCTCGCACGTTGTCGCACCGTTGTTAAGGTTAAGGGCCCCGCGGATTGACAGGAGTCTGCGTGTCTTCTTCCTTTAAGGCGTGGCCTACAACGGGTGCCCTGCGCCCCCTCCGCACCAGTCCCTGCACCCAATCCATCAGCGGCACCTCGCCTTGCCCGCCAGCATTCCGCAGCAGAAGGTCTTCTCCCTGGCGGAGCCCAAGCCGAAGCCTTCGCCGTTCTGGCACAGTTTCACACGGCTCGCCCCGTTCAAGAAGTGAGTGGGCCCCCCGGTGGCGGCTGGCGGACCTGCAGCCGGGCCTGGCGGACCGAGCGCTGCCCCCCCCCACAGGTGACCCTTGCCCGCCCCTCTCGCCCGGAGGCACAGAGCCGGGAAAGCAGAGGGAGGTCACGTGGAGCACGGACGGACAGGAAGTATTTTGATTTTGCTGGTTCGAGAAGGAACCAACAAAAAAAAAAAAAAAACCCTGCAGAAGTGCGCCTTTTGTTTCGACCGTACAGTATATACCGCTGGAATTTGTATATCGAAATAAGAATATGCACAAGTTGAATTAAGCAACGTTTAGAAATATATTTTCTCCGACGTTACATCTCCTTGAAGGCTGGATCCTTTTTAAATGTTAGTAGGCATTTCAAACTGTGAGTTTAGAGGGTGTGTACAATATCTATCAAACATAGTTTGTTTCCTGATGCATTTTACTGGAGACTGGTAGTCTTTATTTAAGTCAGAAATATAATCTTGGAGCACATTTTTAGGCATAAGAATAAATTCTAGAGCTGTCCCGAGTATGCGAGTGTATTTTATTTCTTTAATAGTTTTTTTCATTCACAAATTTATTTGATTGAATAACGACGAGTGACGGCATCTTTTTCAGGTGTCTCTGGTCTTTGCACAGGATTATTTTAACAAATCCTTGACAGACCAGAGATGGTCTGAGCTTGGATTAACGATGTGACGATGGCATGCAGTCTCTTTCCGAGTGCTGTACCCAAACACAATCTGGTCAAATTGTGTTTGGCTGTCTGTGGCCATTATTCCAGTTTCAACCAGTGTGTTACTACTGTCTTCAGAATCCCTACACTCTGCTGTTTGGTGTTGCGTTTCCCCTCAGGAGCTCTGTGCCTTAATGCAGTTAAACATTGTTTAACCCAACTGCAGGCAACCTCAGCATAGCTGCTTCAATATAACATTTGAGTTGCATATTAATACCTGTGGATCACTGGTACTCAGTAAGAAACTCTTTTATAGCACCTTTAAATGCAATCATCTTAAGTGAAATTATGCATTTCTTAGAAAAAAATGCATAGTTTGTATATGTTGGGGACAAAAAAACAGACTATCTCTTCAGGTATAATAAAGGAACGATTCATTTTGAAAGGGGTAAGCTTGGCATTCAGCTGAAAACTGTCAAACGTTCTCATGAAGATATTAGCTTTCGGAACTGGCTTTGGGAAGCATTTGGAGTTAAGAGTACAATGACTTCCCTGAGGAGGGGTAGATGTCTCTAGCTCAACGTAAGCACACCTACTGTAGCCCAAGAGAAGGCTGAGGATAGTGCCCTCATTACCTCTATAAACTCTTTTACCAGCATGTGTCCTTATGTATTTAAATCCAAAAAATAAAAGCTTTTGTTTCTGGTGTTGAATGCCTACATGAAGCTGAATGCCAGTTGATGGGCTTTGTTTGTAGCAATGTGTTGGATTTGTTACTGACAGCTCTGCAGAACAATATCTATAACAAAAAGTCAGGTGCCTCTTATTTTATGAATTTTTACCTCCATGACTACTGTGTCTAACAGTTACATTCCAGAGTCGTGCTAAGCATTCGCTCTTGTTTCACATTCATGCGTTCTGTTATGCCTAAAAACGTCTGTATGGAAAGTGTTAAGACACAACTAAGGAACCTGTTTCCTAATTTCTGTGTGGCTAAATTCAGTAATCCCTGTACCAGGATGTTCATTTTCAATGTACCACAAGAATGGTCTTTTTTTTATTGTATGAAAAATTAACCGTCCAGATGTTTTTTTTATTACGTCCTTATTAAATTAATTCACAAACAAAATCGTGGAGTAAGATTATTTTTTTTATTGTAGAAATTGGCAACAAGTACATCTCCAGACTTGCTCTTTCTAATATTTAATATGTCCACAGTGATTGTTTTGTAGTGTTGTTTTTCAGGTGTTATTTCTTATGAATCTCACAGACCACCTGAGAAATTAAGCTGGTTCAGCCCACAAGCTCTGATTTTTTTGGTGAAACAGTCTATCTGGGCTTTTGTACTCATTAAATGTAAAATGTGCCTCTTAGAACAAAGTTCCTTATGTTAAACGTATTCAATTATCCAGTCCATTTTCTAACTTTTTTCTGATTCAGGGTCACGGGGGGGTTACCCAGAGACACACATTCTCACACCAAGGGGCAGTTTTCCCAGATGTCAAGTTAACCTACCAGCATGTCTTTGGACTGGGAGGAAACGGGAGCACCCAGTGGAAACCCATGCAGACCCAGTCAGAACTCCACACAGAGCATGTGGAATTGGACCCAGGGCCCCAGAGCTGTGAGGCACCACTGCACCGCTGTGCTGCCCTTCATATTTTCGATTAACAAAAAAAAGCAAACAAGTACACGTATACAGTGCTTTTAAATAGCTTTTCAGCAGAACCTGCTTAACTTCACCAACATGATGCCATGGGATCTAAGGGTGCAAAGCCTGCAATGACTGGCTGCAGTGTTTCCTTCTGCGCATACATCTACAATTACAGAAGCAGCTGCCAGAAAGTCAGGTAATCCATTGATTTACAACTGCACTAGCCTGTTAAATATTGGACTGTTTCACTGCGAAAGGTGAGAAATAATCTGGCCTAGTTGTCCAACAGTATCAGGACTTCGCTGCAGTTATTATAGAATATAATGCAGCTCTATCAGGTGACAGAATTTGTTTTTTTCTAATGCACTGAACGTTTTCTTAATCTTTAGAAGAGGAAGCTTGACTCGGTTTTCTTCTTTCATTGATGTCAATGAAAGCACATGCAGATTTTTTTCCAGCCTCATTTATTCCACACAAATGAAAGAATACTTCTGTCTTGCTGGTGTCCCTGCTAGATCCTTTGTATGTTTCTGCTAAGGCTACAACAGTGTTTAGTCTTCCCCCCCCCCCCATCCTCATCAATCTAGATAAGAAGACGACCCTCCTTTAATGCTTTCTGTGAATCTAGTCTGTGTAGAAAATATAACACCTGTTTGCAGTCCAGTTTATAACACTTGGTTATATCCAGAGCTGCACATCTCCAGTGATGATGATGAGTTTGTTGATCTGCTCATTTGTTTAGACTTTTGTTTAACTCGTTTCTTTGATCAGTCCTTAGTATAGTACAGTGTTAAACTATATTCAAATGTAAAAATACCCAACTTAAGGGTATTTTTTTCCCCCAACACCTTCAGCACACAGACCTTCACACAGACTCTCCTTGACTTGCTGGCTGTTCCTTCTATTTAAAAAACTCTTATTAGTTGATACGGGTGGAAATAACACTATCAGAATCCTTTTTTTTTTCCTCCTTCTGCAGAGGTTCAATTAGTTACATGTCAGGTAACACATCTTAATGAGGCCAGGTCTGAAACTTGGAAAAAGTTCCAGGGTTCATACCAATTACAAACCCCTTTAAAAACTGAAAGTAAATTGCGAAATATACCACAAATCGAAAGTTGAAATCAATCGGCCCGTGAGGACGAACTTGACTGCAGGGAAAAAACCAGAAGACACGGCACTCCTCCAGGACCAGGGCTGGGAACTGCTCCTCAAGACAGTCTTGTATTGAGTAGATGGGAAGGATGAGGTCTCAGGTTCTGCAGTGTGGTGGACTCTGGCCTCCTCTAACTAGCAGAACTGTTGCAATATGGCCTGGTTTGACCATTGCTTACACATATCACACAGACTGTTTCTTAATGGGTTTTACAGAACATTCATAACAAATGACTAACTCACAGCTGCAACCAGACTGTATAAAATGCTATGGAAAGCAGTCTCCTTCCATTTTAAAACCTGTGTAGGTTCTCATTGCCTTGGATTTCTCCAGTCTGATTGAGGAGTACCTGCACAATGGTTAGTATTTCTTTTTTTTGAAAATTACTTATGATTAAATTATATGCACTGTGTCGTTTATAAAAGTATAGTTGTGTTTTTAGAGCACAGTAGATTTGTAGAACTATGTAAACATTTCTGTGAAGCTCAGCACCTTTAGTTAGAAGACGGCCAGGTGACTCCATTTTTATATATCAAAAGGTTTTGAGTAGTAGTGGTTGAAACCAGGTTATTCCTCTTCTTTGTTTTTTGCAAAGAACACCTTTCTTGAAACAAACTGAGGTTATTTTGCCATTTTGAACCATCTGTTTTACAAAGAATCAATTCCCATTGTAATATAACCTCTTTATAAATCATTAAGGCTTTATTTCACTACACAGTGATGATTGACAGAGCTGTTCTTTTCTGGTCGGCTGGTTCCTGACCTCGGTGCACGAGTAAAGACCGCTGTTTACCTTTTCTCCCCCCAGACCGCGGCGCCAATCCCGACGCGCAAACTGAGCGCCGCCCTTCTCCTGCTCGCGGTTCTGGTCGCCGCTGGTGACGTCACGGGGAGAGACGGCTGTCTGTCCGGGCACCCCGGTATTCCCGGAAACCCCGGGCATAACGGGGCGCCCGGAAGAGATGGGCGCGATGGCGGCAAAGGAGACAAGGGGGATCCGGGTATGATGTCGGCCTGGTCAACAGCCGCACACAGGGAAATCAAACCAAAAGTCAAACATTTTTTTTTAACATAACACAAATGATGCGAACGAACTTATCATCATTCTCTGTTACACAGTTCCTGCAGGAGGAGGCTGGGTTATGAATGTATTCTCTTTGATCCAGAGCAGTTTGCTGAGGCTGCCACTGTCCACTGCCCAGAGAACAAACCACTGTTCCACTGCAGCACCAGTTAGGATGAGGCTTACAAACTGGAAAGCATTGCTGTGGAACACTCAATAATTACAATGAAAAGGCTTGGGCATTTTGGCGATGAAGCAAAGTCTGTAAAGGTGGCATGTTGAAAAGGAGGTACTAGGGGAATGTTCTGTTCCCGAACCTAGGATATTATTTTCATATTGGGCATCCTGACACTGCCAGTACTCTTGAGATGTGCTGTGCTGTCTGAGAGCGCGTCTTGTTCTGGAGAGAGTGAGTTCTGGAAAGATTTACACCTGTTCCAGTGAGGAGGAACTTTGTGAATGATTCCGATTACTTTTTGATTGAGGGGCCTTTGTGAATGGCACCTGTACACTTGTTGAAATGTCCAACGTTTCTAAATAAACAATAAAACAAAGACAGGGCATTTAGGAGAACAGCGGAGTTGTTTTGTTCTTTTTCGTGGGTTCTCGCAGTAGTATGGCGGGGTGGATGAATACATTTTCTTTTAGCTGTTCAGCAATGAGGAGCTTTTCAAGTGTTAAATGATGAAGAAAGGTTGGAATGATTTGATGGTGAAAAGGTGTTTCTCTACGGGACAGGTGAGCTGGGCACCTGCGGCTCCTCAGGACGGGACGGCCCGAAGGGAGACAAGGGGGAGCCAGGTAAGGGGTGTCACGTCTCCTGGGAGCACCTGGAAGGCTCTGTACTGAGTGGCTCATGTGGGATCGCCTGTACACCTCTTCCCTTTGGCTGTGACGCATGAGTGTCCAGCTGGAGTCTGGTGCTCGTGCTCTAATGCCTGAATGAGGGCAAAGCGTGTTTCAATGCTCATATCGCTGCTCCGAAGCAGGGGTCTCCACCCCTGGTGTTCTCTAGGTCAGCCAGTCATTTTTCAGATCACCCTCAATCAGCTCTTTATACAGACCGGGAACACAGGCTGTCAACTGAGCAAATGATCTGTTCAATTAAGGGAGCGGTGAGCTGAAATGGCCTCTAAACTGCTAACTGTAATGAATTACCAGCTTAATTGATCACTGTGAAATTGTTCCAGGTCTTTTTTTTTTAATTGCTGATTTAACAGTTATCTAATTGCACTTTAATAGGGCTCCCCAGGGCCAGAGACTCCTGCTGTTAAGCAAAGTAAGAGGAGACCAGTCAGAGTAAAATAACATACAGTACAATTACAACGGGATTGAGTAATAAGACATAGGTAATATGTAATAAGATGTAATAAGACATAGGTAATCTGTAATAAGATGTAGATAATATGTAATAAGATGTAGGCAATATGTAATAACATGTAATAAGACATAGGTAATGTGTAATAAGACATTTGTGAGTCCTGAGCCTGTTGCCAGGTGATTGTTTTTCACTGAAGAGCCAAGCCGATGTGTTTGTGGAGCCAGGCGTGACTCTGCCGCTGTGCTGTTTAATCCTCAGGCGCTGCCGCGGCCGCAGGAGTGAAGGGCCGGCGAGGGGAGCCGGGGGACAGGGGCTTTCCGGGGAAGCTGGGCCCCCAAGGGGTCCAGGGCCTCGCCGGAGACAAGGGGCAGAAAGGAGAGCTGGGGCTGCCGGGCCCACAGGGGGTGAAGGGCGACGTGGGGCCCCAGGGCCCCGAGGGGCAGCAGGGGGTGACGGGGCCTCAGGGGGAAACCGGCTTCCGCGGCCCCCTGGGCCACACGGGGCGCCCCGGCCCCAAGGGGGAGGAGGGCCCGGCGGGCCCGAAGGGCAGCGTGGGGTACCCCGGCCAGAAGGGGGAGAAGGGGGACGCGGGGGAGAAGGGGGACACCGGCGCCACCCCGGAGCCCCAGAAGAGCGCCTTCTCCGTGGGCCTGACGGAGGCCACCAAGCTGCCCCCCGCCAACGCGCCCATCCGCTTCGACAAGGTCCTCTACAACCAGCAGGGCGACTACGACCCCGCCACGGGCCGGTTCACCTGCAGGGTGGCGGGCGCCTACTACTTCGCCTACCACATCACCGTGTACTCCCGCAACGTGAAGGTGGCGCTGGTGCGGAACGGCGCGCGGGTCCTCCACACGGCGGACAAGTACCAGAGCAGCGAGGACCAGGCGGCGGGGGGCGCGGTGCTCGCCCTGGACGCGGGAGACAGGGTGTGGCTGCAGGTGGTGGGGGGCGAGTACTTCAACGGGCTCTTCGCCGACGACGACGACGACACCACCTTCAGCGGCTTTCTGCTGTTCGCCGGCTGAGGGACGGCGTGGCGCGGCTCCTCGTGTTGTGTTGTGTTGTGTTGCGTTTTTTGTGTGTTTCTTTAAACGTCGTTCCGTCTGATGAGATAACGCCGACCGCCGAGAGGACAGGAGAGACCCGAGCCGAAGAGTGTGCTAACGAGTCCAGTCGTTTCTGCTTCAGCGCTCCTGTGCAGCCCGGATAAACAACAACAAATAAAAAACTTTTACGATAAAGACTTTTGTCAGAAAACTAGCATGACTTTGTTTATTGAAACTGACTAAATGTATGTCCCGAACAGTTCGCATGTAAACGGTTCACCGCAGAGAATGAGATTCGAAATACAAGCGTTTGTCTTTGCTGCAGTTCGCTGTTCTGACCACTAAAAAAATACCTTCAACTTTGTTTTATAACTTTAAGCTTAATAACGGCAAAGGCCAACACAAGTGCAACACGCATATCTATATATGTTTCAAATGGCTTATTTTCTAAAACACTTTGTTGTGTTTTTACCTTTCTCCCCATCAGCCAACACACCTCTCGCCCTGTTGCATTTGTTCGTTAATAAATGAAGAAGAAAAAAACAGATCCCGACTGTTCTATTGGACGAATGGAAAATAAAAGCCAAATGACTTAATCGCAGAGGATTTGGAGAGACCGCTCATTTAAGAATTTTGATGTGAATCTGGGCGACTCGGTAGTGTGTTTTAGATGAGCCTCCTAAGTTCTCACACCCCCGTGGTATTAATACTCGTACTACTAAAAATAAAGGATAAAAGACGCTCAGAAAACGGATACACCTTCCTGCCAACCGAGGATGGCGCCCGTGAAGCGTTATCGCCACCTGGTGGACAGGGACGGAGGTGCACGTCGAGCAGGTAAGTAAACAGCGGCTCCTTCAGTAGCGTCTTTTAATTGCCCAGGTCTCTTAGCATGAAAATCCAGGAAGAGGCTGTTACAGCCAGACGTTATTATATACCGAAATTCCTTTATTTCTGCATCTTTGAAATTGTTTTCGGTTATCCATCATATAACAGGCACATTTGTCAAGTGTCGTGGAAATACAAGTATTACAGCACCGTGAATTGACTTTTTTAATGCGGGACCAAGGTGTGCTGTGGTTGTGAATTGTGACCTGGCCTCCGGGGTCTGTCTTTGGCAACTGCAGCTTCTAAGTATTTTAAGTGTTATAGACGTGAAACACGGGCCTTTCAACCCTAGCTTCAGCCAGGAAGACCCGTCTCCTTCGGCCAGTCCCGTCAGTCAGTGCACAGTCCGCGTTGTCTCGGCATCACGTTTACCTGGCTAGAGCGACACGGACTACTGCACCCGGCATAGATCATCATCACAAACACTTCCCCAAGCACACGAGCTTCTGCAATCGGAGCGAGAGATCGCGCACACCGCCGTGCAGAGACTTTCTGCCAGTCCTCCTGGTAGTACTCTAGATCCGCCACAGAAGCGCCTTCAATTCGGCCCGTGTTTGGTAAATCAGCTGGGGTTTTGAAAGCTTCTGAACCTTCTGACCTTTTTGAAAAGTACACATCTGTATTAGGAACAAGTACAGGTTGATTCCATGCCGAAGAGAGAAGAGAAAAGAAAACACAACGTTTCGGCTGCGGAGCCTTCTTCGGGGTGTCTTCGCCCGAAACGTTGCGTTTCTCTTTCTTCTCTCTTCGGGATGGAATAAACCTGTACTTGTCCTGACGCAGCTACCCGCTTGAACAACATAACATATATGTATAAGCTGTAGTAGTTCAGGTGGGCCAGCCGCGTCTGCATGCGTAGGCTGCAAAGGACCAAGTAATAGGTTTATTCCCTGCTGAAAAGAGAAGAAAAAGAAACGCAACGTTTCGGGCGAAGACACCCCGAAGAAGGCTCCGCAGCCGAAACGTTGTGTTTTCTTCCTTCTTTTTTTCCCAGCATGGAATAAACCTATTACACATATGTATATATCACCTCCACTCCTCGTGGTAGACACCACGCTATTTCGTCTCCTCGGGAAGTCTGCAGAAGCGGAAAGGACTCGAAAGAGCAGAATTTCTCCGCTCCCCCCCCAACCCAAACAAAACAACACTACTGGATTGGCTTGAGTCAAAATCGCGGACAGCGGCAGTGCCGCAAGCCCGCCAGCAGGGGGCGCCCGCGCGCCTCGCTCGCCCGCAGCCCGCGGACGGTACCTTGCTCCCGGAAGTCACGTGTGCGGCTCCAATCCACCTGCTCGGGCTGGGATCGCGAGGAGGAGCACAGCTGATGCTAAAGACCAGAGAGCCAGCGAGGCGCACAGCCGGCAAGTTTCTGTTCGCTCCGCTCTGGGAAGAAATCTATATTCTGGGCACCCGTTTAACGGCGGAGAATGGCTTTCTCGGGATTGTCTTGTCTTTTTATCTTAGGAGTGTTGTTCCCAGGTGAGTTTCTTTTATTTTTCTCTGTCTCTCTCTCCCCCCCCCCCAACTTTACTGTTGACAAAGTGAGCGAGTAGCAGACCTGGTCTTAAATGGCGTAAGATTTTTTTTTTTTAAAGTTATGTGTTCGAGTGGGGGGAAAAAAATAGGTTTCCCTCTACAACAAATAGGTTGGATTTACAGACGTTTTAAAGAAACGCGCTTTAGTTGTCTTGTCGTGTTTATTCTAGGGGAAAAAAAAGAAACATGCGGGTGAAAAAAGTTACAATATGCGATTGAGTGGTTCTTTAAGCTTTTTTTTCGTTTGCGAATAGAGGGGTTATAGTTTTACACACAGACTTAAAAATTCGATGTTCTTATCCCACCAACTACAGCTGCCATCCTGAACAATTGCCGCTGGTTAGTAGTAAGTTAACGAGGTCGACGCTGTGGGGAAAATTCTTCCTCCTCCTGCTTCTGTGCCCCAGCGGAATCCGTAGCGCCCCTTTGTTTCAGCAAGTGGTGGAAGCACCGCAGCGGGTCGGGAGAGGACGAGGGAAAAGTCTCTTAAGGGGGCGCCTCCGCTCTCCGACGCCCCGGGATGCGGCATTACAATAATCACGATTATTATCGCCACCGGTGTTGCTCGGTCGCTGCAGGGCTGCCCCGCGCTCCCCTCTCCAGCCCTTTGGAGTGCCGCCGCCTCTCGTGCCGCCGCGCGCGGTCTCGTAGCAACAAGTCGCCCCCTTGGAAACAAAAGGGTCGGAGCGGGTCCGGGCCGCGCCGGCGTCCGAAACTCCGCTACCGCCGGGGCTGTATTGAACAAAACAACAAAAAAAAAACAACTCCTTTCTTTGCTAAGGAATCCGCTATACAAGTCCCGTTGGGGGACGACATGTGGGGGGGTGTAGTGAGGGAAAAACGGAGTTGGGGTGTGGGTTTCGTCTCTTTTTTCGCCCGTCCGTGATTTTGGTGGTGGTGTCAAAGGCGGGTGGATGAAAAGTTGAGGCTCCCGCCCGTTTTCTGAAAAGTGTGAAGTGAAATTTCCAGTCGTGCCTGCTTGGACCCGTCGTTTCCCGTGTGAAATGTGAAAATAACAGTTTACTGGAGTTTTTTTTGTTTATGGCAATGATGATAATGCCGTGTCTTTATAATAATGCCGTGACTTATTTTGCTTAAATTACACCGCGTTTCTTTATGGAAGATACAGGCGGCCTAATTTAGATTCGATAATCTGGCTCTAAATATTAATTAGCGATTAGCTGCGTTTCGGAATTAACGTCGAGAACAATGGAGGGGGAGATCTGCCGGGATTTATCTCTAAAACCTCCCCCGGCTTCAAAAGTGCTGTTTTGTAGTGACATTGTCTGCCATCTGCCATTGGCTGTCGATATTTCACAAAACCCGTGGACTTGATCCACTGCTGTTAAGACCTCGGTTCAGAAGTTGGATTAACTGTGTCTTGAAAGCCGCCACCGTCCAGAGAAATTTAATATTGAAACTTGTTTAATTGAGGATTTGGTCGAGGCGTCTCGTATCCGCCGCGGGTCCTGTTGTTTTTTCTCCCTTAACTGCGAAAAATAAATGTTAATGTTCTGGGAGACGAAGGAAGACTCTGAGATGCTAATGAATGTTAATTTACTGATAAACGCGCTGCTGTACGGTGCTAGGCAGGGGGAAATGTGGCGTTTCTCGCCTCTGCCTGTCAGGCACGGCAATTAAGAAGCATGTTTTTGTGTTTTGGTAGCCTTGGAGGTTGAAATAATCCAAACCGCAGCTCCACTGTTTTTTTTAATCGCTCACGCCTTAATAAAGCAGTTCAGAATTACCAGAATGAACACCGCCCTAAAAAACACCATTCGTAAATACGGCTATCATTGATGATTTAAAAAAACAGCCCTGTGGCTCTACGCGAAACTGATACTTCAAGTCATGTGTAAAATGTACAAAATTTGATTTTATGTTCTTGTGTAGCAGTCTTTGGTTAAAAGGAGCCACCCTGCTTTGTTTCTTGGTTGCCTTCAGCTTTGCGGACCTCCATCAGAGAAATTCTGTGATTCACCTCCCTGTCTGAAGTGGGGGTTTTAGTGATTATTGAGCGTTTGGCTTTTAAAGCAAGGTTTCTGATAACTGCTGATCACGGAAAAGAGCCACTGGTGGATGGTGAGGTTTTTCAAAGATTTCCTCTGCTCTTCGCAGAAGCTGTGAAAAGAGTGTATTGCGGTCTTGTACGCAGAAAGGTGTTGTTTCCATCTGAGGAATACTATGTCTGTATTCCATGAAGTAATACTCACCCACTCTCCAGCACTGTTTGAGCAAAGCGCCCAGCTTCCCATCCAACTGGCACAGCCCCGGAGGATAGGGACTTAGGACCAGTTACGAACAAAAGGGGGGTTATTCAGCTCAGCGGTGATTGTGCAGGATAACCTCTTAACTGTACTAATGGACCCTGACCTGTTTCACTATTGCAACAGTTCAATTGGACTTTACGGCCAGTTTGCTCTTGGTTGTGGCTTTAGATATGGAGATGCGCGTGCTGGTGTTGTTGTTTTTTTATTGATCGGCTTTAAAAATAAAACTGTCATTTCCCCCCATTGGAGCGATAACAGCGGGTTAGATCATTTGTTGCTGGCTTATAGAAGTTTATTGTTGGGTTTCGTGTCAGCTGTGATGACAGCTATAAAAGGAACCTGTTCCTGCACTGAAACCTGCCCGTCCCTCCTGCCTGTGCGACACTGAAACTGCAGTGCTGTGCTGCCTGGTATTGCACAATCTGGGGCTCAAAGGTTGTGCATAAAGGGAAATAGGAGTGGAGACATGGTGGGTTGGACAATGGCTTTCTGGTTCGGTGGTTAATCATAAACTCCTGAATGATGATGCTTTCTTGCTTACAGTTGAGTGTTTCTGCATTCTGCTGTGAGCTGTCGGAAGGGTACAGTGACTGTAGCAAAAGGATAATGCAGTGGAATGTGGCTGGTATTGTTTACCAGCACTGCCACCCAAACAATACATCGCCCATTGTGCTGTTCTGAGTTTGTGCATCGGATCTCATTTCCATTACAATGAGACTTTGGGGGGCTCTTCTCTGAGAGCTAACCCACTTCCTGAGCTCCGCAAAGTTCCAGATAACATAGGATGTGTGATTATTGTGCCGTAGATAATGTCGATAAGGGGGAGGGGAGAATGTCTCCTCATTCAGACTTACCCATGCAAGCTTAAGAGTTATAATGCCAGGGCTTCTGAATGCTAGATAGCTTTAAATATTGACACCAACCTCTCGATTTTCCTTATTAATATTTTGCACAGGTTGTATTATTGCTTTTTGGAGAGCAGTTGGTTAAAGGTAAGGGGGTATAATTGAATACAATAATTCCTTGCTGTTGTTCCTGCTGCTTGTGTTCTCATCTTTCATTACCCCCCCATATGCTTGTCGAAGAGGGTGGGAGCCAAAGAGCTTTCCTCTGAATGTCACCCTAGATTGCAAGTCCAAAGCTCTTACAGATCGTTTCTGAGTGGCCTTTGTGGGGGAAAAACAACAGACGCATGCTACTGCTTTTGCTAAATGCTGTATAGCCTAAAATAAAAAAAATCTGTTATTTCTGAATGTGCTGTAAGCTTTGATATTTTCAACTGATTCAGAAACACTATACGGGCTAATGAGTACAGTTACAGTTGAGACGGCTACATTTTCTCTTGTTCTTGCATTTTCTCTTCCATTGCTCCTGTGCATCTGCTTGGTAGAACACCATTTATTTTGTTGGCTGGGGAGAGGCTGTTTGCAGTGCAGTCAGTGGTTTAAGTAGATGCCTGATTGAAATGTTTTATCTCCTGAACTAGAATTAGGGAAAGCCACAGAGTGTTTTCTAAAGCTCATCTCCCGTGGTTTAGACACGCCGAAACTCCCCAACAAGCAGGAAAAATACCACATACAAGACGGGAGACATGCCTGGTCACAATGTTTGAATTGCTTTTTTCAACGGTCTCGTATAGCTACTGTCTAAAATGCACTTTTAGACAGTGCAGAACTCCCTGCTAAGAAAAGTGCTGGAACGTAGCATTTTGGTTATGTTCTATTCCAATTCCATAATCAGTATTTGGCCTGAGCAGCACAGTTTGTCCTTCACTTGGTGAAAATCACAAGACCATACAAGGGGATAAAAATTAAGAGACCATTTGGCCAAACCAATTTTGGTTTGGTTTTCAGTAGGGACTAGAACCTGATCTTGTTCAACCTTTTCTTTAAAGGAAACATCCATGATTAGGTATCTTATAATCATGTATCTGTAAGCATGTATGAGAAATCTGTTAGAAGAGTGTTACAGCAATGGTAAATGCTACTGTGTGATCACAGATATCTGAAATATCCTGTGATAGTTATCTGCAAATACATAGTCACCTCCAGAGTGTAGAGATATGCTAGGAGGATTGTCAAATGGAGGGAAGAAAGTGGATCATATTTCAACTTGAAGCTGAGGGGCTATACCACATAGAGTTTTGAATTAAATGGAAAGATTGCCTCAATATTTCCTGACAGGAAGCCAGTGCAAAGCTTCCTAGACAGGAGTGATCTTATCACATGCATGTGATCTAGTCAGGATTCTAGCAGCTGAATTCTGAACCAGATTTTCCTGCACAGGGATGGATGGAATAGCATACAGGCTGGTAATATTTTCAAGATGGAAAAATTGTGTCTTTGGAACATTCAGCACACAAAACACAAAATTAGATTCTGGAGGGAAAATAGCCCACAGGGTTCTTCATTTTTAAATAGACTCAAGCACAGCGCTGTTAACTGACAAGGTTACAGTGCCGATTTTACATAACTGCTGGGAGGAACACAATACCAACCTCCATCATTTCTCAAAAATGTAGCTCATTAGTAGTTTGGCTCTCAGAATATGGGAACTATTCTTCAAGGTTATACTTAGGATATAACAGAGGTTTGTGGTTCTTGTTTTTGTCCAATGTATTCTTGAAAATTCCTTATGTATTGGAATGCCTCGTCAAGGTATCCAAGATCTCCA